CCAACAGAAGGCTGCCGTCGAACAGTTCCACGCTGAGACGACGGAGCGGTTCGAAAACTTGGAGACCACCGTGGAATCGTTGCGCACTGAAATGGAGAAGCGACATGCGGAGATGATGAAGGTCATGTTGCAACAGTTCCAGGCGTTAAAGCCACCACCACCGCCGACAGCAGCCGTGCCATCGCCAATCTTCACCGATTGCACCACACGGCCCATAATGCATCAATCGAATCCGATTTTTGATGAGAATGGGGCGCCCCAGCCGCCTTGGCATGCAACCARCAGTACGGCCAGGGAACCGAACAGGCCCATCGGCACTCAGGAAATTCCTTTTCCGKAGTCAAGTACGTTTGCTTYWTCTGAGACTGAAAGGCCGTTTGGCAGTGGGTATGGAAGGGGCTCAGGACCTTCGGGGGAACGGGGGTGGGTGCCGGGGGCGGACCACCGTCTTCGTAAGCTGAAGATGCCGTTGTTCGATGGAACTGATGCATATGGGTGGGTGTACCTCATGGAAAGATTTTTCGACGTTCAGGGATTTGTTACTACGGGGGAGAAGTTGAGAGCGGCAGTGTTGGGGTTGGAGGGACAGGCCCTTGCATGGTACCGATGGAGTGATGATAGGCATCCTTTTCGTCAATGGGAAGGATTAAAAAACCGGTTGTTGGCGCGGTTCCAGTCATCTCAGGAAGGGGACCTATACGAACAATTTTTGGCAATTAAACAGGAAGGGTCGGCACGCGAGTATATAGGGAAATTTGAAATAGTATCGGCACAGCTAAGGGGTATTCCTGAGAAGATTATGCAGGGTACATTCCTAAWAGGGTTGAAACCGGAGCTACGAACTTCCGTGAGGTTGCTTCAACCAATGGACTTAGACCAGGCGATCCAACTAGCTCTGATGGTGGATGAAAATAAAACTGTCAGCAATGGGAACGTGGAAAAAGGGGAAAACAAAAGTCAGCCAGTGCGGAGCGGAGTGGGGGGCTCACGGCCGCTTGCCGCCCCACCAACGGGAACCCAACGACCGACAACAGGGGGTAACGAGCAGCCGTTTAAACGGATGACAGACTCGGAACTGGCGGATAAACGGGCTAAGGGCTTATGTTTTCGATGCGATGGGAAGTTCACACCCGGACACCGTTGCCCCGAGAAATCCCTGCGGATCATGTTAATGGATGATGAAGATGATGAGGGGGAAGAGGTAATACCGGAAACTCACGCGCACTTGGATGCGATGGAGGTGTCGGTACACTCAGGTGGTGGAGCAGTTCCCTGGCTTTCACCTTGAGGACAAGGTGAATTTTCGAGGCGGGGGTAATGATACGTCTCAGCCCGACCCGCACTGGGGTCGGATGTATCAGCTTCGCAAAAGAGAGGCAGGAAACAAGTAGAGGGGGGCTGTTTGCAATTTACTTATTCTTAATTATCTTAATTAGTTGATTAGGATAGATATTAATTAGTTTATTAGGATAAATATGTTTTCCTATTTTTTAGGATTAGGGTACGGCTTTATTTAAGGGACCGGCCACCCCATTGTTTGCATTCATTCTAGTATTTTGATTCTTGTCGTAGACATTGGAGATTACTGGGTCTCGAATTCCAGGGTTTATTTTAATAAGCATCCGATTAGTGGTATTTTTGGCCGCTAATCTTGATTTTGCCAATTGATTCATATCAATGTCACTAGTCCCAGTTTTGCACTTGTTCATAAATGCAAGGCAATGTACCAGCTCTCTCCAATTTTTGCAAGTGTATTCGGGTTTCACCTGGAACTTTGTGATGAGCATTCGTGGTGAATACAAAAAAACATCACTTAGTTATGGTGAAATTGTCTCATTTTTAGGAAATATATATTGGTTTTAACTCAACTTATTGTTTTTTCTCTTAAGATAAAACTTACCCTACTTATGTCCGCTATAGCTCGAAAGTCATATTTCTTGAAAACACTTTCCACATTAACTCTCTCTTCTTGGTTTCTGAGGATAGCTCTCAGTTGATAACTAGCATCTGAATTTCTATGACAGGAATTGGAGATCAATGTTCAAATAGAGGAATGACCAAGTTCACCCAGGAACTGAGTGACATGTCCAAATCTGAAGGATTTTGCATGTAAGGCTGATTTATCTTATGGGTTAATATTTCTGTTTATTTAGAAGTTATCTGATCATCCTTTAATGTAGCATCTTGTAATGTGAATAGACAGTCTCAGACATGTTATGCCGTTAAAGGACTTTGACCTTAATATCTTTCAAATAAAATATTTTAGTTGCTTATCATAAAGAGTCGGTACCAAGCCAAAATATATGGGCAACAAAGCCAAACCGCTGTTGGCATGCAACTTCTATGATACAGGCTGGGCACAAGACGTTATTAGCCATTTTCTGTTTGGAAAGTGGTGGTTGTGAATGATCTCATATGATATACCACTTATTTTCTCCCCCCTAATACTCCCAATTCTTCTTTTTTGAAGTATATAAATTTATATACAACAAATGAACTCACACCCCCTTCTCACCTTTGGTGAGGTTTGAACCATTGACCTCCTGGAAGAACAAAGGCCTGGATATCGCTAGGCCAAAGTCTCTTTGGTACTCCCAATTCTTTTGAAGCTGTATTGCATGTAGTCAATTTAATATTACTTGATTTGGACTTTCTTGATCATGGTACTTTCACATATACTGATTTAAAGGAGTTACTGTTTTGATTCTACAATGAATGACCTTGATTCTGGGATTTTGTGCATGCAGTTATAATTCTTTTTTCTTTTTTCTGTTTGCAACTTGCTAAGCTCAATGTACATTTGATTCTTTGGTGCCATGTTATTCTTGCCATCTGTAGTGAGATTGGAGATGGAGCATGGGATTCCTGGTTTATGCCCCTGCTAGAACAGGTAGAACTGACCATGATAGTCCTTCAGAGGATGTTAACTAGCAAGTACTCATGTTTTTATAATCTACTTATCGAAATTGTCTTATTTTTTCAGACTCAAGTTGTCTGCGAGAAGGTAGAGATATCTATGCAGAATGATTGTCTTCTTTCTTTCTTCTCTTGTCAGTTTGTTTGCCTGGTTTTTGAGGCTGCCTTAACTTACTAGTTAATGGTTGCCCCTTCAGGTGAAGAAAATGAAAGAACTCAATGATGGTTACAACATAGTTGGGCTCTCCCAGGTGACTATCTAGATCAACTGTTTGCAGATTACATAACGTACATGATATGCAACATCCACCTTGTCATTGCTCTATTCTCTTTTTGCAAAGTACTTTATCATGCTTATATAGCATGGTTCCCTTGGCTGGATCCAGGCTGGGAGAGGGGCGCATATTCCTAACCACTTTTGTTGCTGTGATGTTATACATTAGCTAATAAGCAGATGAAGAGAGAGATACTACCCTGCTATAGTGACATCATATAGCTTGCCATTACTCCAGTGTAGTGCTTAATTACTAACCTCGTTGGAGCATCTCATGAATACCTGAATGATTTGGTTTGTGGGATATCAGAACCAACTGTTACCTAAAAGGAAAAGAACTGCAAAATGAACACTTATCATAACTGGATAGTGATACCTCTTACTTTGCCCATTTAAACCCTAAATAACAGGATAGATATTACACCTGGTTCATACCTTCATATACCTTAATTAATTTTTTTAAGTCCTGGTCTTCGGAGCCACTTGTTGTTTCTCATATCCAGTTGCTGGTACTGATTGCCATTTTCTGATTGGTGTCTTGTTTTTCTTTTTTCTTTCTTTTGATGGACAACGGTCCTTAGTTTTTCTTGTTTTCGACGACCTTATGTTTTCTATTTATCTGTTTTTCTACCTTCTTATCTTTTCTTCTTACCCTTTTATTCTTTGCTAAATGATGACACTCGGTGAATATATGTTGATCCTCGGTGGTTTTCCATCTAGTCTCTTTCTCTTATCCCCTTGCCTACAAGTGAATATATGTTGATCCTTGGTGGTCCAAATGCCATATTTTCTCTTTCCCTTACAGTCTTGTGTGTATGTGGTTGAAGGTTGGAATGTCTTAAATGTAAACCTTGCCAACATAATGTATATTTACTCGATACATTTACTGTTAGTTCTTCAAGTATGAGCTACGGACATTATCTTAAAAATCACATATTGTAGAGTAGCAGATGTTAGTTTAATCTTCACCAATGCACCAAATATATCCTGCAAATCAATTAATTTGTGGCCAACACCTCTGTTTTTAACTCTCTTCATGGACCATCCTATTGTAGGGATCTATACTTTAATCTGGCTGCGTGTTTATATCAAGCTCATTTTTTTCTTTTTTTCATCAATGTAATTGGGGACATGCATGATTGGACGTTCTAGATCTGTGGAATATAGCACAATTTCTTGCCTCAAACAATTGAATGTATGTAAAATGGCATATGTGCATGTTATAGGAATTTTTGTGCACGTCTAAGATTGTTATGCTTGTAGTAATTCAAGTCATTATGCTCAATGTCTCATCATTTTCTGGTATCTCGTGCTTTCTCATGATTATGTCAAATTTCAAACACTGTCTTGAATTTATTTATATGGCTTTGTTAAACTGTTACTTTGATAATTCAATCTTTACTCTTCATTCCTTTTTTTAGTATTTATGCTTAATTGGTCCTTACTTTCTTCAATATCCAGTGCTGTTCTTTTATCTAATTTCCCCTCTGCATACAGGGTAATTTAATAGGCCGAGGTGTAGTAGAATTTTGTGATGGCGGACCTCAGGCAAGTAAAGCTTTTTCCCCTAGTTTAGTGCTTTCTCTAATAAGTTAAGAACACTTGCTCGTCATTGCATTGTGCATGCGCACACAAAGTTAAAGTTGTAAGCACCATGCCATAGATCTCTTCTCTTAACAGTCCCACCTTCCTGGCCCTTCTTCTTGTTTTCTCTTTGTCGCTGCAAGCAATTAAAATAAAATTAATTTTGTTGTCATCATGTGTATTATTCATTTATCCATCCAGGATGAAGATAGAAATGAGAATAACTTTATGATTTTAGTTTGGAGATTTCAGTCTTATGCATTCGTCAGTTTTTTGTAGACCAAGTAGAAGCCTAGAGAGGTCAAGTCAACTTAGATAAATCAATAATGTACACACATTTTCTAGGAATCTTCTCACTTTTTTGTTGACACTTGGCTCTTTCATCTAGTTTAATTTTGAATTCCTTTGTTCATGTTAAGCAACATTTTTGCCTCCTAAAAGTACTCGTCATGGTTTGATGCTTTTCAGAACTCTATTTGAGCAAGTTCCACATTTTTCTTCTTTCAAATTGTAAATAGTCTAAAAACTTTGCATATGTAGACTTATGTTGCATGTCCAACACCAGAGTAGTGGAGGGAATCTATAGGCTCTACAAGAAGGCACTAAACTAGTTAGCCCTATAAAAATGACGCCAATAGAAATTTGATTATGTGCAACTTGCGAAGTGTAGTGGTGTTAGACATACAAGGCTTGGGACATTTCTTCATAAGTGGCTTGCTATAAGCAGCCTCTGGATATGGGGAGGAACGAGCTAGTTTTTTTGCTCTTTTCCAAATGGATTGGGGGTATGGACTCTAGTCTCGAACGTAAGATTTGTGCTAGCTGGCACATATAGGGTCCTTGTACATCAAACTTTTGTTAAGTAACATGTAAGTTACCATTCATTACAAATTCGTCTATCAACTTAGCTGCCCTCTTGCTTACAGTGAAGATAGACTTTGCAGTTAAATAATATTGTCCCTGTGCTCATCCCTCCCAAGCAATTTATGCATACTTCAACTGATCAAGGACTGCATGCATTACTTTGACTAGAAGTGCACCCGATAAATCTCAATTCTAAAGCCGATAACTCGAACCCTCGATCCTAATTCATGTTTTGTTTTGTTCTATGTCTCTCTCAAATTTATTTATGGTTTTGTGTGGGTTTGAGAGAGCGAGAGAGTCTTTGGTTGCTTATCAGTTGTATGCAGTATTCTGGCGTTTTGATAGCGCTCTTATCTTGTATTTGAACATGTTTATTGGCTATTAGTTAATTTTATGGAGTCCAATGGTGGAGCTCTATGAACCTGTACGTGTGCAGTAATAAGTTGTAAACTTGAATTTTAAGAGATTTTAACTCGCATATGAATATATTCGTGAACGAAGTTTTGAAAATGTGGTTAAATTTTTTGGAAAAAGTATATATCAATATGGGTATCAAATTAAAGAGAATAAATACTCTTTTTTTGTATAATTTGTTTGATTAAAAAATTAATAGTATTAAAGATAATTTAGATTTTAAACGAATGAGGTAAATTTATGGAGCTTCCAAAACTTGATCCGTTCATTTGGGAAGGGAAATATGGGTTTCCAGAACCCTTCAAGCTTCCATTCTTATTGCTTACAGAATATTAAAATAACTGAAAGATTTTGTGTGCATTATTGATTTTAGTTAATGCTTTAATAGTTGTATTCTTGAAAAATTAAGATTTTCTAAGAACAATAACTCAAATGCTTTATAGTATAGTATGGATAAGTGAGGCTCCAATTGTTCATGGTTATATTGCTCATTTCCAGCATATATATTTTTTGGATGAACAAGTTCAAGGGGGAACCTTTTCTTGTATTTTTTTTTTTGGGGGGGGGGGGGGTTTAGATAGGTAGGTAAAGGCCTGGAAGGAAGAGGTCAATATGGTCATGTTGCATTCATTTTTGGATATCACTTCACACAATATGGTCATGTTCTTTTCATTTATATACATCATTTAACATTACTATGTTTTTGTTTAATTGTACTTTTCTCCAAGACAGGTTAAGAATTTAATCTCCTTAGGAGGACCTCATGCTGGTACAGCCTCTGTGCCGCTTTGTGGTGTAAGTGCTCCCTTTTGCTGAGATATGAAAGTTAAGAATTAAGATAAAAATGGTGTAAGATGTTTGTGGAGAGACAAAGTTATAAACTGAATTACTTTGTAGCCATCATGCTTGATGAGAAATTGAAGGGGACTGCTGCATGCCTTTTGTCATCCTTTCTTGGATTTTAATTTCTTATGGTGTATGGTGTCTATCAATCGTCAATGGCCTCATCACCTGAAAGTTTAACTAGTCAACTTTCATTTAATATATGGGAAGCTTCTCCTGTTTGAATAAAGTGTTGGCAATGATTCATCAGTAGTTTATAATCTGAAATGTAACATGGTCTCTCCCCCTCCCCCCTCAAGTATGTATATACAGCCATACTCATACCTACACTTGAACCTACACCTACATCTGCAGGGTTATTTATGCTTCTGGTTCTATGCTTCTTATGCCTTTTTAATTGGCCTTTTCTCTAGCCTAAATATGTTAAATGTCTTTTTTTATGTCTCCTTGTAGATCAACACTATAATTTTTTAGCATGTTGCCATTCGCTTGGTATGGCTATGCATGTAGAACATCTGAGAAACTCGTTTAGTTCGTTTTCCTTAAGTTTTTTCTTAAATTGTTTTAATTCTCACTCATTTTGAAAGGTATTCATGTTTTACAGTCTGGCATTTTCTGCATGATAGCAGATGCACTTATCAAGTCAGAGGTTTATAGTGATTATATCCAGGTAGTATGCATCCAAAAGGGGTTTGAGTTACACTGTTTGCCATATGATCGCTTCACAAAGATGGTTTACTGCCATATTTTATGCTAATAATGTTGACTGATTTGTGCAGGAACACTTGGCCCCCAGTGGTTATCTCAAATTGCCAAATGTGAGCCCTGCACTTACCTATATTACAGGATATCTTTTTGAAGAATATAATATTTATATATGGCAAATGAAACTCACATACACTTCTCACCTTTGGTGAGGTTGAAGCCCTTAGAAAGGGTGGGTTACTGGAGACCGCTGGGCCAAAGGTCCTTTGGCCATAGGATTAAACATAAGAAAATTTTCTCTCCTCTCCCTCTCCCTTCCTTCTCTTACCTTGGGAATGGTCATTGTTGCTCACACGTTCTGTAGTCAAGCTTTTATATGTACTTCGTATGAAAAGAAGGATGGATGAAGTTTTAAAAAAATAGCAATGAACAGGAACTGCATAAGAAAATTTACACAAGATTTTGGTAGATCGTGCTACCTATCACCTTCCTTAATTGGAACAGCCTCTGTCAAATATGCTACGGTTGTTTTCGTTATTTCTCTTGAGATCTCGTGACAGGGTTCATTCTTTGTTTTTAGAACATGGATGCCTACTTACAACACTGCAGATTTCTTCCAAAGCTTAACAATGAAATTCCTGAAGAGCGAAACTCCACATACAAGGAGCGATTTAGCAGCTTAGAAAATCTGGTGCTTATCATGGTACGTAGGAAATTTTCACTCTTTTCCATCTTCCCTTTTCCCAAATCTTCTACTTCATGCTTATGTCCTGCTGCTTTGGTTGTCCTGACAGTTTGAGCAGGACACGGTATTGATACCTAAAGAAACTGCTTGGTTTGGATATTTTCCTGATGGAAAGTTCAGTCCAGTGTTGACTCCACAACAGGTACTATATTTAATTTTAGGTAAGATGATACAGAACCTGAATTGGTTATTGCTGGTCCAGAATTGATACCACTGATTGTAAAACTTGTGTGTGTGTGTGTGAGGGAAAGAGAGAGACAGAGAGAGAGAGAGAGAGAGATCCATGTTAAAAGAAATTGGCAAAATCACCCCATTTTAGAATATAAATTAGCTCATCTTGATTATGATTTTCAAAGTTTGGATTCTAAAGAAACAAATAAGATTAGCCGACAATCAAACTGGATTTGATCATATTATAAAGAAGAGTACTGTTTTGGGGTCAAGAAGCTCAAATCCAACCAGCGACTTTGATATGTAACTTGTTATGACCTTTTATCTAGTCTTACCCATCTTGTTGATTTGCCACATCTTAAACTTCCCAATGGCATTAAAATGTAAGTGATACAAGTCTTTCAAGTAGTGGGAATGCGCCTTCCGTCCTGCAGTGACTTCATGGTAACTGCAGTCTCATGCCAATTTTCTGAAGTTTAAAAAGTTCTTGTTCTTAATCACAGACCAAGCTTTACATTGAAGATTGGATCGGTCTGAAAACACTGGATGATGCTGGAAGAGTGAAGTTCATCAACGTCTCAGGAAATCATCTTGGGATTTCGGAAGATGATGTGAAAAAGCATGTTATCCCTTACTTGAAGGAAAGTGCAGACATTAGAATCTCACAGTTACAGTTGCAGAGGAAGAGCAGGAAGGAAGCAGGATTTGAAGGATATTCATCTTCTTATACATGGCCAGCATCAGTTAAAAGGTTTTTTTGGTGATCTACATGGAGTTAAACCAATGATACTGTTGAAATGAAGCTTGGTTGAGGCAACCGACAGAAAGAAGATGCATTCAAATGTAATAGTAATACTAATAGTGGGCAAAGTGAGTTTGGTTTGAGAAGATTGATGAGATACAGTAAACTGTATGTATTGTACCACTTGTGCATGATGACATGTTATTGTGTTGGTCATAAGTATTTCATAAAAGTCTAAGGGTGGTGAGAATGCAAATGCTGCAGGCTTATTCCAAGATGTATACTTGACTTCAACAATAATATAATTAACTGTTATAGTTAAGGAGCTGTTTGGTTGGCTTTCTATTAAGTCCTGTATGGATAAAGTTATCTGTGTGGGTTAATCTGTTTGTATAGATTTTGAAAGTTTTTGTTTATGAGTCCTATTAAGCTTAACACTAATAAACAAAGCCTTTAAAATTCATGTCTGTCATTCAACATCTATCATAAAGCATTTAAAATTTTGCAAGATAATCGCGTCCGCATCAGTCGAAGTGGTGGAAGGCCCCAATGTTAAATATTTCTCTAGCAGGTAATTTGATGAAAGAGGGTAACAGCACAGCTTTTAGGATGAAACATACAAATCATCAGAACTGAAAAATTACAAATATACTTCAAATATGCAAACTTATATACATATAGTATTCATTACAAGTTTTCTCTAATCATTGTTAAAAAATCAAAGCAAGAATATGTACACAAACCAGTGGATCCTCTTGTATGCATTTACAGTCTTTAACAGAGATGGATGTTTATGCTCATTTCATCACTGGCTTTTGAGCATTTGTTCCAATTTACCAGCCTAACGCCTGACATCTTGCTGCTGACCCACAGCCTAGAAAACGTGGCCAAAGCAGTCTTCGAAACCCGGAAAACCAAACTCATATCTGAACCATGCCGTTCATCCTTATATCCATCAACATCAGCTTTAGTTATCACAACTACAGAACCGTCATCAAATGTGAACACATCTGCATACGGAAACAACCTCAGAGGTCTCAAAATCCTCGTGCTACCTGACCAAATATTGCTTGAAATTTGCGATTTCTTCACTTTCAGATGGTAATATTCCTGGACTGCCTGCATTACGTAACAAACTGCCTTTTCACGGTTACTCACAATCACATGAAGATTGCAACAATTCCCTTTTTCTCCTGGCCAAACTTACCTACTCACATTATCTACATTACAACTAAATTGATGCTATTGGATTGAGCCCATAAGATTCTTTCGTTTTGTCTTCTATTGAGGATCTTTATCTTACAATATGCAGCAAATCAAACAACTTTCAAGGGACCAAATAGAAAGAGTGATGGCATCTGGCAATGTCAACATCATGTCTTTTGAGTTATGGCAAAGTACTGATTGATCATCTACTTATTAAGTTAAAAGTACTATTACTGGAGAACTACCACCCCAAGATAATTTTTTAAGAGTAATAAATTCAGAACAAACCGAGAAAGTTACAAATTTTAAAACAATAAGCATAGAAACATTAATCACAAAATGTGCAAATCTAAGCTTAACATACCTGCCGCTGAGCAGATGCCAAGAGAACCCTAGGCCGAATTGACCTTACGAATGCATAGGCAACATCTGGGGACATATGCCTATGCTGAACCTGTAAGATGAATAAAGCATAAATGAAGAAAAAGAAATGAAAATTCCTATAGATACACATGCACATCAATGAAAACTTACCAAATAACATATCACAATGGTTGTGCTACGTCCACGACCAGCTTTACAATGGACATACGTAGCCTGCTTGAGAAGTGTTTTCCCTTTACAAGAGAACAAGGTTAAAAGCTATATACATCCTGTTAGCTCATGCAGGAACCCCCAACAAGAATCAAATATAACAACTTCGGCTGAAGAGGAGGCGTCTAAGTTTGTTCTCCTTGGCATTTAACATATGACAAACAAGAAAAGAAACGGAGAGCATGCAGTTTTGAGATGATTTTCTTTACCATGGATGAAGTTTACAGCTTGGCATATGTCATCAATTGATGGAGCAAATAGGTAGTCCCTTGTTGGAAGCACTAAATGATCAATACCATGAGCCTATACAAATCAATAGATTACAACCAAATAAGACCATCTATATAACAAAGAAGGTCGAGGACAAATGAAAGAAAACTTAGAACCCCAAAAAGGATCACACTAGCAAGGAGGTAAGCGCCACATGATTAGAATAAAACAAATCTAAGTACATGACAGCATTTCTTGCAACAAAAAACACTCCACCAACTAGAAGTAGATTGGGTGTAATATGTGAAACCCTTAATTTTCTATCTAAAAGATCCCTTGTATAGAGAAGAGAGACCCTACATATATTCAGGTTGGTTGGTTGGTCGGTCTGTGACTAACCGATTTAGGACTCCAACACACACACAGAGACAGAGACACAAGCATATGGCATGCCAATCATTGTAACAAAGAGGATTACTTTGTATAAGGATGTAGGGACCAAAGTCTCATATGGCTCATTGAGGGTGATCACTCCACGAACGCCAAGGTCCTTGAGTCGTTTGACATCACTAGGAAATGGAACAGCACCTAGCAAAAGAAACTGGATATAACCATATTAGAAGTACAACACAAATACCATGTATGTATGAGAAACAACAAGAGCAAAACGAAAAATAGGTCAAGACAAATGAAATGTGTTAAAGAATACCTCCTGAATCTGATCCCACCACCGAAACTCCGCCTGCAATTTGTTTCTAACAAGATTGTATACAAGTGTAGGGTAGAACAAGGCACGGGCACCTGCTCCTACCAGAACCCTCCTAGAATCAGACAGCTTTATATCTTCAACATACTCCATAATAATCCCCCTAATCAGACAAATCACAGACTTGGGTAGCCTTGCAGTGAAAAGGAAATCAAAAACGTCTTATTGCAAGCAAAGCCTAAACAGCAGCAGCAGGAAAGCTGAATCAGAAATGACAAAGATCGGGAATTTTGAAGCCCTGATTTGAAGGTTTGGAATATTGTTGCTTTCCCCTGAATACTAATCAAACTTATTTTTAATTTACCAAATCAATCCAATATTTTATATATACAATTTATCAGATGACCATTATTATTCATTCAGGTAACGTTTGGTATGTAGAGATGATTGGATAAGACTCGACAAGACAAATAGGTAGGATTTGACAGAGCAAGAGTATTTTTTATGTTTGGTACAATTAGGATTGGACTAGACAAAACTAGACAAACAACCCCCAAAAATTATTTGATGATTTTAAATATTATATAATAGTTATAATTAACACAAATAAAGTAAATAAGTAAAGAATATGATTTATAAATATTTGTACATAATTTTCATATAAATGAATACATACATATATAATGGTACCAAATTTGAATGAAAAAATTAATATGATTGATGGTAGTAGTGGTGGTGGTGAAGGTGGTTTTGGTTATGGTGGAGGTGGTGGCCGGCAGTAGTAGTGGCAATGGGCAGTGGTGGTCGGTGGCTAACGATGGTTATGGAGGTAGAGACAATGGTGGTTGGTGGACAACGGTGGTTATAGATGACATAAAGATGGTGGATTTTGGTGTTGGTGATGGTGGCGATTGACAACGGTGGAGGAGGTAGTTTGTGGCTGATGTAGTGAAGATAGTGGTGGTGGTGGTCGTCATGGTGGAGGTGGGGTGGCAATGAATGGTGGTGGGCCGATGGTGGTTGTGGACGTTGTGGATGAGGTTGTTGTAGTAGATGAGGAGTTGGAGGTGGCCAACGGTGGTAGTGGTGGTGGCAATGGACGGTGGTGGTTGATGGTGGTTGTACAGGTGGCAATGGACGGTGGTGGAGGTGGCCGTCGATGGTGGCGGCGGTCGAAATTAGCGATGATGACTATTAAAACAAATATCATATTAAGATTAGTAATATTTTAGTTTATGTTCCATCTTGTTCCACCTATTTTGGCGGAACAAGAAACTCTTTTGTCTCATGTTATCCCATCTTATCCCTATTATTGTCCCTGTCCCTGTCCCATGTCGTGTCAAACGTGGGATAATGAGTTTTTGTTTTGTCTCATGTTGTGCCAACCGTGGGACAGTGAGTTTTGTCCCATCATGTCATGTTCCGTCCTATATACCAAACGCAACCTCAAGAGTGTTCGTCTCCAAGTATGTGACAATTATGGGAGATTGAAAATTTTGAATTGGAATAAAAGAAAAGGAAATTAGATGAATGTTTGGTTTAGACCCAAGGTTATGGTTGTATTAGAAGGGTACTCGTGCAATGCAACGAGATGCATCTTGATTTCAATGTTTCGTTTTATATTTTGGCTCTATCGATGTTATAATGCGATTTTATGTGGTTTTGAAGAAAATAAATTTTTTTATTTTTGAATGAAATATAAATTTGAAGATATTATAAAATTTTGAAAAAAAAAATAAGTGATATTAGTATCAGATTAACTATTTAAAAGTTTTCGTTTTTGTGTAATTTCTTTAATTTAATTTTTTATTATAATATAACCGAAGTTAAAAAAAAATGAACTAATTTATTTTTGATTTAATAAAATATTATTTTAAGATAAAAATTAAGTATTCTGTTAAAACTCAATGATAATCTTAATTATATTTTAAATTTTTCATATTTAAAATAATGTTTATCATGTATTTGATTATGTTTATCTGCAGTTAGTCATACAAATTCAAACATAAAGCTTTAATAAGATATACTCATGCACATTCTAATTATAATCTTGAATATTAAGTAATATGCATCAATAAACAATACTTCATACATAAAAAATTATTTTTAAGAGTTTTTATCAAATATCTTAAAATAGTAAGATATATGTTAGAAGCTTCCAAACCAATTACTAATTCCTAATGGCATCATTGAAAGAGAACACACTCAATTAGTGGATTGATTTTAACACTTATTTTCCATCATGCCTCCAAATGGGTTGATTAAATCTTGAGATTAAATTTTTTGGAACCAAATGGTCTTTGATGTAACGGTATGTGAATTTTTAGTCTTTTAAGGAATCAAAGCTTTAAATCTCACCAAAAATGACGAGGATATATAAATTTATTTGTTATTTATAAATATTATATTTTAAAGGGGAAAATGGAATGTATGTAGTGAAAATGTTTAACCCAACATACAATTATTTAAAGAATATTTTATTTTTATTAAATTAAATAGAATATATAGGGAGTAGGTAGATTTAGAAGTAGGGCTAGAATTAAAGAAATGGAATTAAGGAGAATGTGAAAAGTGAAAGAAATGGTTGAAATTTGGAGGTGAAGATGCCCAAACAAGATTCCATTTCATTACCTTTCTTTCATCACCATCCAAATCAAAATTCTTTACCATTTCATTCTCTATCAACCATCTTTCTTTTTGTTTCTAAATATTTAAAATTTCTCATTTTTAAGACTGATATTTACTGTATTCTTTTATTTATAAAATCTTTTAATTTGTTTGATCTGATCCAATTCACCTGTTTCTGAAACAAAGAACCATTGTCTCCGTTCCCATAGTTTGTCGCGATTAGTTCAGACATACCTTTCTAAAAAAAAAGTACTAAACATAACCCTATTATGGTTTTCTTAAACCTGACAAAACCCATTTGTACGGTTACATGTTCCTTAATTTTCTATTCAATTAATAATCTAAACCTTACCAAAGAACCAAGGTATGGTATCTTTGTTGTGGCTTTTTCTTTTGGTTTTCTATATGATATGTTACTAGCTAGATTACATAACCAGTCTTTTAACTTTCCTTTCTATGTTTTGAATGTATAGACACTTAAAGACAGATAGACCATCCACCCAGTACCACGTATGTATGTATAGAGTCAGAGAACATTTTGCGCGTAAACACCCATCCAAACTCTACGTTTCATTGACGGTTTGGGAAAACATTCATATATTAAAAATATTAAAAATGTGGATATTATGACACGTAAGGAAATTAAGCATAAAAAGAAGTGTTGCAAGGCCAAGGAAAGCATACCAAACTTGTAAACTATCCACATTCTTCTTTTTCTTTTTTCTTTTTCTTTTTCAATTTAATTACTATTTTATATATAGACTTAGGATCATGTGGGACTAATGGTTTTTCATGAGACCCATAACACCAAATTTTAACCATTGGATTAGATATACAATCGTCAGATCTGAACATTCATAAACGCCACGAGACTTCTCAATAATTACAAAATTGTCACCGTGCAACTTTAGACCATTAGATCATTAGCTTATAAAGTTGATCAATGAACATAAATTGGTCTTATGGATCTCACGGAAAACCATTTGATCTCACGTGAACCCAACCCTATATATATATATATATATATATATATATATATATATATATATATANGATTAGATTTACAATCGTCAGATCTGAACATTTATAAACGCCACGAGACTTCTCACTAATTACGAAATTGCCACCTTGCAACTTTGCAACCATTAGATCATTAATTCATAAATTTGATCAATGAACATAAATTGGTCTTACGGGTCTCACGAAAAACCTTTGGTCTCACGTGAACCCAACCATATATATATATATATATAGAGAGAGAGAGAGAGAGAGAGAGAGAGAGGAGTGATCATATGAAAACCGCTCTCATTTGTGTAAACCGTACAAACCACCTTCATCTGTCGATTTCATTGTTTAATCTTATGAAATTTTTTCATGAAATTGTTTAATCTTGTGAAATTGTTTCATATAATTCTTTTTTAATAAAGTTGTTTCATATATGGTTGTGAAATTGTTTCATATAATACTTAATGAAACTGTTTCATGTATTTCTCTAACATTAATGAAACTGTTTCATGTATTTATCTAACATTAATGAAATTGTTTCATGTATTTCTCTAAAATTAAAATAATGAAGATGATAATATCTATGATTAACACCCTCCACAATAAAATGATTAATCAACCTCTCATAATTACAAAATAATGAACAAAATGAAAAATTATGATTGGTTGAATGCGGTTTGCACGGTTTGTACAAATTAAGTGGTTTACATTTGATCGCTCCCCTATATATATATAAATATGTATATATATATATATATATAAATATGTATATATATATATATAAATATGTATATATATATAAATATATAAATATGTATATATATATATATAAATATATAAATATGTATATATATATATATAAATATATAAATATGTATATATATATATAAATATATAAAAGCTAGCGTAGGCATCCCAAAAGAGGAGGAAGAATCAAGCAACCTCCCACCCTTGTGCTTTATTCTTCTTTCATTTTATTACCAAAACACCCCTCCTTCATTCTTCATACAAATCTAAACCTTGTTGTAATTCTAACTAAGTTTACCTCTTAACACTTTTTTTACAATAAAAATTACACAAATTCTACAGGGTTATAAATGTCAAAACGAAAAAGGAAGTAAAGCATATATAGCTTCAGACCAACTCATTCCTCCAAAATCTTTTCTTCCTTCCTTCCTTCACCTTCACCTACATCTTTATAACTTTCTTCTGCAAATCAGAACCTCCATCAATGGCGGAAACCACATCCATCAACAATCCACTTGTTCCTCCAAACGCCACTAAGTTTTACACTCACTTGTTGTATAAAGCCATCTTCTTGTCTATTTTCCTTTTGCTTCTTCCATTCTTCCCTTCTGAAGCCCCCGGTTTCATCAATCACACAATCAACACCACAAGCTGGGAGCTTCTGCAACTTCTCTTTGTCGGAATTGCCGTCTCTTATGGTCTTTTCAGCAAACGCAGCAACGATGAAACCACGGAAAAACAGGATAACCCTCAGTCTTATGTCACCAGATTGCTTCAAGTTTCATCGGTTTTTGATGATGATTCTGAAACCCCATCGGAGAATAGTAAGGTTGAGACCTGGAATTCTCAGTATTATAGAGGTGAACCCATTGTAGTTGTAGCTAACGAGACCACCTCTGTTCTTGATAATGGCCTTGAAAAGCCTCTGCTTTTACCTGTTCGGAGTGGAGTCTCTGAATCCTCCATCATGCTCGCTAGATCCAACTCCAGGAGGCGATTCTCGGAGGCGAAACCGGAAGAGAATATCGTTTTCAGGTCACCCATACCATGGAGATCAAGATCAGGGAGGATGGAGGAGGATTCTTCTGAAGTTAACAATTACAATCTCATCCAATCACAATCACAATCACAATCACAATCACAGCCACAGCCACCTGCTTTTAGATATCAATCAACAACAAATCTTTTATCCCAAGACAAAACCCATCCCTCTGAAATTCAATCCAAATTGCTTCAAGATGTTGGCCGGAAAAACAAGACTTCATCTTTCTCACCAATCCCTCCTCCGCCTCCTCCACCTCCGCCTCCACCACCTCACCAGCCGGTAAAGTTAAACTACAGACACAGCAGAATGAATACTCATTTATTTAGAAGGAGTTTGACGAATGATTTCTCAGAGGATTTGAAGAACAGGGGGAGAAGACTAAGGAATACCTCAAAATCATTCAGGATACCAAGAGAAACGGAATACGATGAATACTTATCACATGACAAAGAAATCGAAAGCTTCATAGAAAGAAGAGGGAGTTCACCAACGGAAGAGAAGAAAGAATTGATTGAGATGGGAACAGGAAAAGATTCTGAAGAAAGCGAAGAGGAGGAGGAGGAGGAGGAGGATGAGCTTGTAGAACTTGCTTCAAAGAAGAATGAAAACATGGTGGATTACAGTGACAATGGTCCAGATGTGGATAAGAAAGCTGATGAATTCATAGCCAAATTCAGAGAGCAGATTAGACTACAGAGAATAGCGTCAATTAGAAGATCAACTTCCCAAACACCTAAAAATGGAACCAGGTAATTGATTAAAACACTTGATTTTTTTTTTTATGTTGTTCCCAAGATTATAATCACTTTGTATAATTGGAGGCCTGTTTTCGTGTTTTTGGTTGGTGGATTTATTGAGACCATAAATAATACTAACACATATTATTGCATTTGTTTTGCTTTGAAAACTGAAAAATATAATCAAGAAAATGATGATGGTTGTGTTTGCATCTTTCTCATCTCATCTCTCACTAGATTTGCGATCCATCACCAACTGTTTTGTAGATGTACACATGGAATTGATATCTCTTAGATGGATTCCTTGTAAACGTTTATGTGATAAAAAAAGCATATTTGGGGGGTGTTGTGGTCAAAAGCAAGAAAACAAGAAAAAAGTGCATTGATTTATACAAGTAAAAAAATGGGTGGTTGCCTGAATCAGCAGCAACATTGAGGGCTGTCAAAAAATTGACATGTGGAATGCATCTTTCAGTCATTACCCATCAGGTTAATTTAAAGGTGGTGAGGTGGGTTTTAAAAAAAATTGTAAAAGATGGTGGGTTTGAAAATGTTGGTCAATTATCCATCAATTCAATACCCCACATTCAAAACATAACCAAAATTCACAGATGTAGCAGTCATCCTAAGACTCCAGTAGTTATTAACTTCACATATATCCAGCACCAACCTATTCACCCAACAACCAAATGCTTTCCATCAAACACACCTATTCTATTATAAACTTACATAACAATATGAATGTTGCTTTCAAATGAAATCTGTTGTTATTAAAGGAATAAGAATTTGAAACACACATTACCCATAATACAAGGTTAAGAATCATCATCATCAACCCATAATACAAGGTTAAGAATCATCATCATCATCATATATATATATATATATATATATATATGTGTGTGTGTGTGTATGTATATAAGAAGCTTCAAACAGACACTTCTTGTATGTTCCTGTATCTAAACTAAACATCACCCAATCAACAAACTTATTTCATAAACTAGAATTTAGGATGCAAAAGCAATGTTTGTTTGAGGATGTATGTAATATGCTACTAAGTTTGTAAGGTTCACAACCATTGTATACATAAAACAAGTAAACAACTTATAATCTTGAAGAGGAATTGATCATAAAAAATGGCTGAATGAAGTAGATAGCTTTTGCAAGTGGATTCATATGTCATTTCCACATCTTTATAATCAAAGATCCAAAAACTAAGTCCCTAACAACAACACACCATTTTAATTATGCCTTCAAGATTTTCTTCTTAATCAACTGATTCCTTTTGTACAAGATATCTACCTCTGCAACAAGTGCAAGTGTATGATCATCAACACCTAAAAGAAAATGAAAATTTTTGCTCTGAAAGTTGCTTTCTTTTTTTGATTTTCCGTATTCCTAAACCAAGAAATGTAAGTAGAAAAACTCAAGAATTCAAGGAAAGAAAATGGAGTTACCGAAACATTCTAAACTCGATAAGAATCTGCCGAAATCCCAACCAAGTAAAGCCCAGGAAATAGATTCTGCAGAAAGTAAAAACACTTGGAATCATCGCAAAATCAGTAGAGCTGAAAAAAGAGTTTCGAGTAGCTTTATCAACGTACGTCAACTTGTTTCTGTACGGTCTTGTTCCTCTTCTTGGCCCTTCGAGCTGGTTTTGATCCGGTGAATGCATACACATCTTCCTCTATCTCTTCCTTCGATAACGAGATCCACAATTTCCTCTTCATATTATTATCCTCCTCCTCCTCCTCTGCCGCTACACCTCTCAGCGATTTCATACTGCTCGCCGCCAGAACCCTATGATTAGGAACATTAGAGATCGCCGACCTCCTCGGCCTCAGATTCCATGGCTTAACCTCTCCGTCAGCGGCTGCTTTGCTACTGTTATTCTCTCTTTCCAGGAATACACCTCCGTTTTCGTCGTCGACTGTCGTTCCCTTGTCTTTAGTCTTGCGGTCAAGAGAGCAAAGAGATTTTCCATTATTGTTGTGGTCGGACTCGGAATCAGTTGCAGGAGATGAGCGGCGGTGAGGGTTGGTGGTGGTGGCGTCAGATAGGAGCCGGCGGCAGCGGTTGTAGGTATTGGCATGGCTTCTCTGGCCCCATTTTAGGAAAGGGAGAGAGAAATTGTGCATCGGTTGGTGTGACTTGGCCGGCACCGTCGTCATGACATATACCAAGAAAGATATATGGCTGTATGCGTGTGTGTGTGT